CAGGGAGCACTGCTAATTTCATTACAGAGGGCTGATGAAGTTACACTTCTCTTTTTAATAGGTCTCATTCTTAGGCTTGTTTTGTTCATTCTGTTTTAGATTCAGGTTTCTATTCATCCTTCAAGCCTAATTCAAACACCTTATTCTCTAGAAAGTTCTATCAGATCTTAAACTCTAGTAATGCATTCAACAAGCTGCCCTGGAGGACTCTTAATCAGGAGGCAGAACGTAAGATATTAGGGATTCTGTTGTGAATAAAAATTCATACTCTGCCCTCCTGGACCCTACAATGATGAAGTGCACATGAATGCCCTCAGATACAACTTCCAGCTTTAGTAAATGTCATTAGTGAAAAGTGTAGGGAGATTGAAGGTGTACAGTGGGGCGTTGGAGTTCATAGAAGGCTTCCTGGTGCCTGGTAGAGGTAATTAACCCAGCACCACGGCCCTCTAAGCCTACATTCACTCTGCTGAGAGCACTTCATTTTCCTCTTGTCCACAAGTAACACAAGGACACCTGTCTTACTCACATGTCATAGAAAACTTGTATGGCTTATTGCATGCAACAGATCTCACAGCCTGGCTTTCATTGTCACTACTGCAGCATTATCCCTGCGACTGCCATCACTATTAGAGGAACAGGCAAGAGGCTTCTGAGTGAACTCAAACCTTGTGTGATGAAGTCTACTTTAACTACATGTTCTTGGCATCTGAAGAGTGAGCACAATAACTTGTTGATGACAAGATAAATGAAACCACTGAGTACCTCTGACTTCTCTGCAATGCTTATGTGCTTTTTGAGCCTCTTTTTTAGTACCTTTATAGCAATTTCACAAGCTATGGTTTCTGCTAATGACTTCACAAATCCACCTTTTTAAGAATCATTTGTGTTAAGGCTGGATAGAACCCTAGCATACCAGCAAGTCAGCAGAGACAGGGCTGCCCCTGGCCAGTCCAGAGTGGACAGCACAGACGCTACATTAATGAGACAAGACATTTGCTCATAGGAAATTTAAAGATGAGAACTGGGCTTCTTTTCTATCTGAAATGCCCCTTCCCAAACTCCTGCCTAACCACCCTGGTTGAAAAGGAACTCACTGAAAGCTGAGGAGATACATTTCAAATCATATAGTACATGAGAGACAAAACTGAAATCTTGGAGTCCC